GAGAGAGAGGAAGGGAGGGAGGAAAAGAGGGAGAGAGAGAGAGAGAGAGAGAGAGAGAGAGAGAGAAACATCCATGTGAGAAAGACACATCGATTGGTTGCCTCCCATACACGTCCAGACCGGGGTTGGGGATCGAACCTGCACCCCAGGTATGTGAGGATTTTTTTATATATAGATACATTTTTATTGATTTCAGAGAGGAAGGGAGAGGGAGAGAGAGATAGAAACATCAACGATGAGAGAGAATCATTGATTGGCTGCCTCCTGCATGTCCCCCACTGGGGATTGAGCCCGCAACCCAGGCATGTGCCCTTGACTGGAATCGAACCCAGGACCTTTCAGTCCGCAGGCCAAAGCTCTATGCACTGAGCCAAACCAGCCAGGGCTGGATTTTTTTTTTTTAAGATGTTGCAGTGGGAGAACGTTTAAGCCAACACGAAGCATGTTCTGTTCCTGTCCTGCCCGGGCAGTGAATAGACTAGGAAAATTCAGACACATCACCCCCCTGGGTCCCACCCACAGCTCGCCTCTTGCTCTGAAATCCATCGCGCGTGCTGCTTTCAAACAGTTACCTGCCTGGTACCCACTGCCCACCCCTCAGCGTCTCCCAGGTCCACCCTCCGGACTCACCGAGACAGAAGAGGGCAGACCGAGACGGGGACATGGCTCCTATGCCCGTTCTGACTCCGCAGCCCAGGAGGGAAGCCGTGAGGGGCTGGAGCAGGGACACTGGACAGATGGATGGATGGACGTGATGAGGAAGAAGCGCCCTCCCCTCCCTCCCCCCGCCTGCCCGGCCTTTCCTAATTGAGACTTATCAGACCGGAGCTGTGCCCCCGGGGGAATGACTTGCACACAAGCTCCAAGGAGCCTCACTTATCTCCTGCCACCAGGCACTGTCCGCGGGCCAGGCTTCCCATAGACGCCCTGGCATTCCCTGGAGGCGTGCAGATCAAACCCCCAACGAGCCCTGGCCGGTGCTGCACAGTGGTTAGGGCGCCAGTCCCAAGCACTGTGGGTCCAACGGTTCGATTCCCAGGCAAGAGCACACACCTGGGTTGCAGGTTTGATCCCCAGCCCTGGTCGGGGAGCCTGTGGGAGGCAACCGATCGATGTGTCTCTCTCATATTCATGTTCATGTTCCTCTCTCTCTCTCTCTCTCTCTCTCTCTCTCTCTCTCTCAAAATCAATGGAAAAGCCCTGGCCGGTTTGGTTCACTGGATAGAGCATCAGCCTGTGGACTGAAGGGTCTCAGGTTCGATTCCGGTCAAGGGCACGTGCCCAGGTTTCAGGCTTGATCCTCCCCAGTGGGGGGTGTGCAGGATGCAGCCGATCCATGATTCTCTCTCTCTCTTTCTCTCTCTCTCTCTCTCTCTCTCTCTCTCTCTCTCTCTCTTTCCTCTTCTCCCTTCCTCTTTGATAAAAATAAAAATATATTTTTAGAAACTAAAGAAAAATGACCATATGGTGGGTGGTCTCTCGATCCCTCATCAGCCGCCGGAGCTCGTAGAGGATTGCCGGGTAATGAAGCTCAGCATCTTCTCTCTTCTCCTTCCACAGCATCCTGTCATCTCCTGGGGGGCGTTCATCAGGACGTAGCAGAAAAGGGGCCCCGGAGGACATGAGGACCACACCTCGCGCTGGACGACCCATGGTCACAGGAGGAGAGACAGAGGAGGAGCCCGGGGATCTGATGCCCTCATCCGGGGGGACGTCCTCCCCTGCTGCTCTAGAAGGAGAGGACCCTCCTCTGTAGAAAAGGATTGCTGCAGCAAAACAACATCCTCCCTGCTGTTGTCTGCCGGCTGGCGGGCGGTGCTAGCCAACAAAAACGAGTGCGACCAGGGGGGTCCTCCCAG